CCCAAGACGGCACCGAGAGGGCCTCAGATAGCCCAATGTGGCCTCCACGATGGCCCGAGATGGCCAAAGATGGCCCAAGATGGATTCCAGCACACCCCAAGAGATCCCAGGACCGCCCCTAGATGGGTCCAAGTGGCTTTGAGGCCTCCACAAGACGCCCCCCGAAGGGGAATCAATGTGTTGACCTTCTCGCCTGTTCGCTTCCGATGGCCTCACGATGGCACCAAGAGGGCCAAAGAGAAACCCAAGAAGGAGCCCAAGAGGGTTCCAATACGGCCCCCCAAACCGCCCAAGAGCGCCCCAAGAGCGTCCTACGAGGGCCCGGGGAGGCGACTTTTCGAACTCCAGAGGTGCAGCGCGAATGAAGACCCCACCCCCATGCTTTGATCGTTGTCCTCCAAGATGGTCTCAAGAAGGCCTCCGAAGCCCCAGCGAGGACCCCGAGAAGGCCCCAAGAGAGCCCCGAGCGCTCCCAACATTGTCTCAAGAGGGCGCCAAGAGCACCCCAAGACGCTGCAAGATGACCCCCAAGAGCCAGTCGTAGGCCCTCAGGACGCTCCAGCATCCTGACTCCTCCTCTTCCTCCTCTTCCTCCTCTTCCTTCTTTTACCCCCGCCTCCTCATCATTCTCCTCCGCCATTCGTCGTTCGATTGGGCTGCGAAAGCACATGAGTTTCAGTCCTAGGTCTGCTCAGGCTGTTCCAGAACTTCGGTTCGACGGCTTCTCCAGCCGTTCGTTCCAATGCATGCTACCCTACTTCCTGATATCGAGGCAACTCGCCTGAGCATCGTTTCTGAATGGGCTGGTTTCTTCACCCCCCTCCCTCCTGTATCATCCACCCTCATCCTGCTCCTCCCTCCCGTGACCCTCCTCATGCCTCCTATATCCTCCTCCTCCTCCTCCTCCTCCTCCTCCTCCTCCTCCTCCTCCTCCTCCTCCTCATCCTTGCCGTTGTGGCCCCACCGCCCTGGAGTCACTCGGGTGTGCCCGTCTCTCTACTCGCAAATCCGGCCCCGCGTCGGGTGAGTCAGCGAACCACTGACCACCGCTCCACCGCTCTGAGGACCTCCCACTGTGTCCAAATGCGAAGAGCTCGGGCGACAGAGCATGTAGCAGTAGCAGTTATGGCACGTGAAGCTCGTCTGGGGAATACAGACCGACAGACTCCTCCTCCTCCTTCTCATTCCTTACCGTCTGCCACATGTTCTCCTTTCCCTCTTCGTTCTGCTAAGCACACATCCCTCGACCCCCCAATCCATCTCCCCTGACGCGTCGCATATTCGATCCGACGCTAGAAACGATGACCCGCTTAGTTGCCTTGATCAGGGAGTGAACCACACGAGTCTTGGAGTGAACCATACAGGTCTCCGGAAGAGGAAGAAGAGAAGAATGATGCGGGAGGAACGCGTATTGAGGAGGGGGGCGAACAACAACAACCGGTTGAGAGTGCGGATGGCGAGCAGAAGCAAAATTAGCCGTACTAATTTCTACAGGGGGCAGGGATGAGGAGACAGGCGGAGGAGGAGGGACAAAGGAGGAGGAGGAGGAGGAGGTGGGAGGGAACAGAAACAGCTCTGAGACAAGGAGAGGATGAGAAGGAGGCTCCCAGGCCAATTCTACAGATCCGCAGAGATCCGACGTCCTGGCTTGTCACCACCTGATCATGATCCCTTGACGTCCCGACCCTTCCTCTTGGGGCCCGCTGTTCGTCCCGAGCCGTTCTCGGAGGAGCAAAAGCCCAAACTGGGGAACCCAAAAGGTACCAGTTCGGCAACTCTGGACGTGACACTCGGATTTTGGGGACTCGGGTTGGCCGGACAGGGTCGTCAAGAAAATGACGAGAACCACTCTGAAATTCGACGCGATCTCCCGCTGCAAGCATCCCACGAAAACTGGACCGTACAAATCCAGTGCGGGCTTCTTAAAAAGACGAACCCGAACTCTAGCGTACTCGAGTCTTACGTTTCCCCCAAACTCCCCAGACTTCTGTCGGGGTGCATTATGACCACAACCTCGAGGTGACTCTGGCCGTGGCGACGAGGGTTTCCCAGGAGGCCCGGAGAGGGGAACACAAGGAAGGTTAGCGGTCTGGGTTCTTGTTTCTGTCTGGTATTTGTATGTATGTATATATATATATATATATATATATATATATATCTTGATACATACTTACATGCATACAAAGCTTTCGATGACACGCACACTGGTCGGGAGTTGCTACAGGTACCCCTGGCCCAAACTGCCCCCAGCTTCTTGCTCGATTTGGGGCCCCCATGGAGCCCCCCGCGCCTCGTGATAGGGGTGCTCTGGAGGCCATGGGGGCCTCCTTGGAAGTCCTGGGGGCACCTCGGGTCAGGGGCACTTCTGGGAACGCCCGAGCTGTCGGGGACCTGCTGGCCCGGGTGCATCCAGACCCGGGCCGGCCAGGCTCCCTGCAGGATCCTGCAGGCTCCTGCAGCCAAGCCCGGGCCAGGGCACTCCTGGCCCTGCAGGCTCCTGCAAGATCCGGGCGCCCTCACTAACCCGCGGGGTGCGAGGAGGAGGAGGAGGAGGAGGAGGAAGAAGAGGAGGAGGAGGAGGAGGAGGGGGGAGGAGGAGGGAGGAGGGAGGGAGGGGAGAGGAGGAGGAGGAGGAGGAGGAGGAGGAGGAGGAGGAGGAGGAGGAGGAGGAGAGGAGGAGAAGGAGGAGGAGGAGGAGGAGACCCCCCGTCTCTTGCGCTCCGACACTGGAGGCCCGAAGGTCCTGTCCGCGGCGTGCGAGGCCGCGCCTCCCGGGGCCCCGCCGCTCCAGCCGGCGCGGGGGGCCGCAGCGGGCGCGGCCTCCCGCCCTCCGCCGAGGGTGGGGGGGAGACTTCAAGCCCGCGCGCCTTGACTGGAGGCGCGCGCAAAGGGGTCTATCTCCTCCTCCTCCTCCTCCTCATCCTCCTCCTCCTCCTCCTCCTCCTCCTCCTCCTCCTCCTCCTCCTCCTCCTTTCTACGCTAGAGCGACCCAAGGTTTTCCTGTGGCGTTCTTGGAAGGCCAAAAGAGAATCAATAGAGGACGGCTCGGATCAAGTGCACCTGGCGGGCGCCGCGGAGCATGAAAGAAGTAAAGATGGGCCCCCTCCTCCCCCTCCTCCTCCTCCTCCCTCCCTCCCGTCGCTCCTTCTCTCCTCCTCCTCAATCAATCTCTCCCTCCCGTCCCTCCCTCCCTCCCGTTCCGTCCCGTCCTGTCCCTCCCTCCCTCCTCCTCCTCCTCCTCCTGGAGACCAAACCTCGCGGGGGACTGGCCGTCTCGACTCCTACGAGGCGCCGGATGTCTGGGCCTGGGGGTCACACGTCCACAGGGGGAGGGCGGAAGGCTTCTTAGAAAGAGGCTGCTTCTTAGAAGGTGCCGACTTTACATATATAGATAAGTCCCGCGCCGTCTAGGGAGCAGCCTCCTTCGAAGAAGCCTTCCCCCCTCCCCCTACCCACCCCTGCGTGTGGCCGACTGAATACATGCTTGTGCGTCCTCGAGCGGAGGCAACTTCTGGAAGGACTTCATCAGCACGACTACGGGCGATTAAGCCACATGAAAAACGTTGAGCTGGATCATGCCTGCATAAGCCCAGGATGAAGACGGATGAAGCGGGCGTGAGCCGGATTAAGCGGGACTGGGCCGTATTCAGCGGAATTCCACCTGATTGGGCCAGTTCTCGACAAGAGATATACCAGCGCCTATTCGGAATTCAGCCTCCCAGCAGTTGAGTCCAAAGAAAGGAAGCGCCAGGAGGGAAGGGGAAGGAGAGGGAACTGTCAGGAGAGAGGACAAGGAGGAAATAGAGAAGACAGAGAGGAAGCACATATTGGGACCCATGGAACGGCGCAGTAAACAAGGAAAACATATGCCAGGCAAGCATGCCTGTCGAAAGGCGTGCGCTCCAGACAACGGGCTTGCAGCGCTTTGAATACCAAATCCCCCCCAAAATCCTCATCCGTGCAGAGGACCCATCAGAGGGGACCGGCTCAGGGCAGAAGGAATTGGGCTGGAATCGGTGATACATCACCGACAGATCGGCGGCAGGCCGCCAATCGCAAAGGAGCGGGCTATCGGGCGGGGTGGGCTATCGGGCCCCTGTCGGCGATGAATGAGTGATTGGGGGTCGATGCTGCCCCCCTGGAGACCATCCCCGCCCTCAACGATGCCCCTGATCCATGGTCTCGCAAGGGCCATACCTCCGGCAAGCTCCGATCTGATAGCCGTGGGCCCACAGATTCCAAAACACGCGCCGACCGACACATGGAATAGAAGCCGAAGGACACCAACCGTGGATGGGACAATGGGCACTCGATGAATGATCTCAGCGGAAACCAACCGACCTCTCCAGAGGATCGGAGCGTGGGCCGCTTCCCCAAGGCTGGCTTTCCACCCCGCGAGCCCCTAGGCTGACGGAGGCCCTCAACGGGGCCTGCAGGAGCGCCTTGCTTTTTGTCCGAGGCGCCAGATGTCAGCGGCAGTGCCCACATGGCGGCCCCGCCCCATCTCGGCACACCATCAGCATGCGGCATGGCCGCATGAGGAGAACCCCCGAAGGCGATGCCCGAAAAAACGGCACTCACAACTGCACATGGTTGGAGCCCTCGCCCAGAAAATGTCGAGGCGCGCCGGGGATGTCTGGGGGGAGGGGGGGGATGAGGACCCAGGCGCCCGACGTATTGAAACAATGCGGAGGTGTTTCGCCGATCGGCCTCTGGAGGGGGCCCTCGCCGGGCCCCGCGGCCGTGAAGAGCCTGATAGGGGACCAAGGGCCGACCCTCTGGAAAGGGTCGGGATTGGGACAAATCAGGGCAGGGCATCTTTGGTCTTGGTGGAAGACCGAGCATCGAGGGTCGGGGGGGAGCAGGACGAATCAAGCCAGGGCATCTATGGTCTTGAGTCAAGCCCTAGAACCGAGGGTCGGGGGCCGGGGCATAGAGAACTGTGTGTGTCACCCTCTTGGGCATCCAGGGCTCTTCTCGTCACCGCGGCTGAAGTGCTGGCCAGAAGGCGCCCCCAACCAGGGCTAGGGGGGCGATTGTTGAAGGAGGGCGACGAGGAATAGCTGAGTAGACGTATTCAAGGCATCTTCGACGAGGAACATGTTCGAAACAAAGGCATCTTCAACCTACGGGAACAGCGAAGAGGAAGAGCATCTTCGAAATCGAGCTCAAGGCTAGGGAAACCTTCGAGCAAGCCCGCGCTCACTGAGCTGTGATCAGGCCAGCTCCAGGACGCCTCCTATCATCTGGCCGACGTTGTCAAATATCTCATGTGGTCGCCCATCGTACATGTATGCGGGACTCGTCACAAGCTTGTTTTCCTTGTCAACGCAGATCTCCGATATTGTGGTCTTCACATGGGTGGCCCCCAAGCTCGAGATCTGTCCGGCCGTCCCAGCATACGGCCAGGCATCGCCTTCCTCCTGCCCGACTGTGACAGTAACCTTGCCGAGGACCTTCGCGGCGAGCGTGGGCGCGATGCAGCACATCCCAAGGACTTTGGAACTGGAGTGGAAGTCCTTGATCACACGTACGACGTCGGCGTCCACGCTGCACCGCGTCCCGTCGACGGCCCAACTGCTGAGGTTCTTCGCGGCGCCAAAGCCCCCCGGGAAGACGACCGCGTCGAAGTCGGCGGCCTTGAGGTCGGCGAGCGGGACCACCGCTCCTCGCGCGATACGGGCACTCTCCTCGGGCATCTACTGACCCGGGTCAGTGCAAACCAGGGCCAGCCAAGCTTTGCAAGATCCTGCGCCCAAACCTGGGTCAATGCAACTCTGGCTTTGCAACATCCTGCAAGAGCCGGCACTCTGGCTGACCCCCGTTTGCATCGACCCCCGTCACGTGAGCCCCGCTCTCCTTCAGCACGTTGCGCGTCTCCGTATGCTCGGTGCCCATTGTGTGGTCGACCGCGTGCATCTGCGGCTTGTCGGGCGCAAAGCATCGCACCTCCGCCCTCGCCCTGGACAGGTGCACCAGGCACGCGGTGGCCTCGGCATTGGCATGGGCACTCGGCCTCTGCTCCTTACATGCGTAGAACCACCAAATATCAAATCACGTAAAACGGAAAAACTCACCAAACATGAAGAGTACGGCATCCCAAACCCATCAACATGTGAATGCCGCCTCGCTTCTGGCGGGAATGCGGGCGCTGGCCCTCAAGGGGCCACAGAACCTGCAGAAAACGCATCCTTAAGAAGGGGGTCGATGAGTGGACGCATGCCCATCCCGACCTCGGTGATCTCAGCGCCGTCGTAGACGCCGCACCCTGCCAGAACGACGGCGACCCGCTTCCCGGCGCCCGTGGCGAAGCCCCGCCACGCAGGGCGAGCGCCGAGAGCGAGCGACGCCTGGGCTACTGGGCTCCTCAGGAGGGCCCCGAACATCTCCCTCGGAAAAAAATCTGTCGACAGGTGGCACGGCGACAACGGAGCGGGCAACTTGAGCCGAAATGGCTACGGAAGAGGGCGAAGAGGAAGAGGAGGAGGAGGAGGAGGAGGAGCAGGAGGCGGAGGAGGAGGAGGGGGGAGGGCGAGCAGGCGGGATGAGGAGGGAGGAGGAAATAGGAAAGATGAGGAGGGAGGGAGGCAGAGGAGCAGGAGGAGGGAGGAACAAGAGGAGGAGAAGGACGAGGAGAAGAGGGAGAAGCCGCGTAAGCAGCAGCAGTGTGAGAACGCAGAGGGGTGTTGAGGTGCGTCGAGCAGCAACGGCGGAAAGTAGGAGTACGGTAGGGCGAACATGCACGGGAAAGAGGATGATGAGGAGGAGAAGGATGACCGAGATGATGGGCCAATATCTGCTGCTCCCGCCTCCCGTCCTGTCTGGCCAATTGCAACATCGTGGAGTCCCCCACCCAGTGTTTCTGAGAAACTGCAAGTTCACCATCTGAACGTGGATATACGACACACCCTTGGCCAGTCAGGAGGTCCACTTCTGGGCCCACCTTCATTGAAAACTTATTTGGGCTGCCCGGGGCCCTCGAGTCTACGAACTCGGGCGCGCACCAAAGCACCAAATCTACGACCTTTGGCGCGCTCCAGGGCCCCGAATCTACTAACTCAGTCGGGCACCGAGGCTCAAATCTACTGACTTGGGCGCACATCGGTTTTCAAAATATGCTAACTCCGGCGCGCACCGAGACCCCAAATCTACTGATTTGGGTGCGCACCCTGGCGTCGGTGCGCCCAGACTTTGCAGATTTGGGGCGCGGGGACGTGCCCAAGTTTGTAGATTTGGGGCCCCGTAACGAGGCAGTAGATTCGGGGCCTCGGTCAATAGGTTCGAGGGGGGCCGGTGCGCGCCCGAGTTCGTAGATTTGAGGGTCCTGGACAATTCAAAATCGAGGCAGCTGACTTGCCAAACGCACGCGACCGATGTTCGCAGCCCGTTGTCCGAAAGAGAAGCATCAACCACCGCCACCGAGAACCCATCGGGAGGGAACCACCCTTGGGCACTGTCACACCTGAGCATCATTTGGTACCGGTTGACGATCGGGCATGCTATCACTCAGGGGGTGCCCCCTCCCTCCCAGATGATCGATGGCAGTTATCAGTGTTACTCCTATGAGTTGCTTGGCACACAGGAAATGATACGGCAACATTTGTTTTCAAAAAAATGCCCAACACCAAACGCTGTCCACAACCGGCAGCGACCGCTGTTGGGCAGGCAACTCTTTGTCTCAAGAGGACAGCGTCCGTGGCGACATCGACAGCGAGTCCCACTCAGAATGGGCGGGGACTGTCGAATGTCTCCGTCCCCACGGCGACGAAGAGGCCGACCCCAGCACCTCTCAGGCCCACTACCCCGGATGCGTAGCACTCGACGCCTCGTGAGGCGAGGGTGCTGCCTGTGAGAATATGCGGGGGGCGGACGACGACAGATGACGACAGATGACAGACGACAGACGACAGACGACAGACGACGACGACGACAGACGACGACGACGACGACGACGACGGCGAGGACGACGACGACGACGACGACGACTACGACGACCCACTCTTTTCGCACCCATTTCGACTGTACCGAATTGAGGCCATCGTCCGCTCCTCGACCTCTCCCTTCACATCCTCCTGCTCCTGCACCTCCTCCATCTTCTCCTCCTCCTCCTCCGTCTCCTCCTCGTCCGTTCGTTCGCTCGTTCGTGGTAAGACAAAAGGTCGATGCCTATACAGAGAACAGAAGCGAGAAGAGCCGGGGAAAGGAGCAGAAGCAACAGCAGCAAAACATGTGGAAAAGAAGAAGAAGAGCTGCGGCCAACGCCATGAGTGTTGCCTGGGTTACTACCCCAGGTACAAACCAAAGACAGAGGACGTATACCTTCACCCAACAATCTGGGCTACTGCCAGCGGCGCAAGAAGTGGAAAATCGTAGTCCTCCGCGCAAACAACAGCGGTACTGCCAACGGCGAGCGCAAATCAGTAACAACTTGCGCACCTGTGAGTTACTGTGTTTAAATTGAACGACGCTGGAAACAGCAAAAAGCGCCGTGTCGGCGTCTTCGCGCACAAGCCCTTCTTGTACTCAACTGAGCAATAATGCAAGAGGGAAGGAAGGCAATACGGAGGCCGGCAAATCTTGGTGAGTGAATCGGTCCTTCGTCGTACGGCACAATCGTCAGGAGTCGGATGGACGCCTGCGTGCCAGCGAGCGATACGCAATGTCAGAATGGGCCTCACGTATATAAAAAAGGGTCCAAGGGAGTGTAACAACTCCGGACTCCGCGCGGAAGTTCCCAAGAGTCGTCAGGACCCTCTAAGTCGATCGTCCTGCGCAACTTGCATATCTGACTAAGTGTCCACTTGAGTGGTCGTGGGTCATGGAAGGAGCCAGGGGGAACCCTAGAGGGGATGCCGTTAACGAAGGGCAGACAACGTTCAGGGAAGCGCGATCGGATGTGAGAAAGGTGGCGGCGAGCATGCGGCACATGCCCGACGGATAGGCATTGGCCGCCGCGGCACCCCGCGCACCTGTGACGGCCAGGCCGCGCAGAGGGGGATGGGGCGCGGAGTGAATGTACGAAGGACCTCCCTCCATCTGGCTGAACCACTGATCCATGGAGGTGAGATGCACAGCAAGCAAACCCGTGGGTTTCAAACAACGGGCCCCGAACCTACACTGGTGGATGGACTGAGAGCCGTGCCAGGAAGGGTGATAAACCGTTTGGCATCAGGTGGTAATCAGATGCTGGGGGCGCCCTCCACATGAGAAGAACGGGCAGGATGGTCTAACGCTGCAGGGATGTGGTGCCGCCAAGCCTCATGCAAGAAACGAAGGGCCACCCGTGGAAATTGGTTGGCCACCGAAACCTGAACCTGTTCCTGTTTGGCGGTACGATACGGTCCAGCCCCCAGAGCTCCGCGGCATGACGTAGCGGGCGAAGAGGCCTGCGCGCGTGAAGGGCAAGTCGGTGTCGAGCGACAGACCAAGACTCGCAAAGGGTTCCTGCAAGTATTCCAGCCACTCGCCCCGGACGAAGCATGTGAATCCAGAGGTCCGCAGTCCCTGGCGTTGTGAGGTCACCTAGCTCCTTGTGGTTGGCGAGGTCGCTGCTAAGTGCCCAACACTGAGCCTCATGGGTCTACAGGAGTCTCTCGAAGTGGTCGTGGAAGTCGCCCACGCGCCGATGCCCAGAGAACATATGCAACAAGTACTCGTGGCATCGCGCAGGGAGCCTGGGAGGGCCCAGGGGGGGTAACAACAGGGGGTCCAGGAGTGGGAACGAGGGGAAGGGCAGGTTTGGGAACCCCACGAGAAGCCCGAGCCTTCGGCACAGTATGTGGTGGGGGGGGGGGGGGGGGGCAAACGCTGCAGCCAAGGGGCCGCAGCATGCGCATCTGAGGGCCCATGGGGCCGATTAGGGAAGGCCTCTTTGCGAGATTCTTCATGGGCCTCGCGGATGTCTTGCTCAGTGGGCCTAAAGGTGGACTGCGCCCAAGCGGCCTTGCAGGCAGGGGAATTGGAAAGGTGCTTAGTTAACCTGGTTATATGTCTGAAGCTCCGTAAGCATACCTGACACAGGGAGCTTGTCGCCAGCCTGGAGGCGGACTTCGCCGTCTTGTGGTAGCGTCCAAGGTGGGCCCTGACTTGCTGTTCACTGCATGCAACGCGCCCACGCTCGTAACAGAGGCAGCGGGGAGGAGGACGCGGATCTGGGAAAGTGGGTTCCGATACGCACTCGTCAAATTGATGCTGCAAAACCTGAATATGTTCCCGATCTGAGTAATAACGTTTAGCCCTCCTGATGGCCGTGGAAAGAATATTTGCGTAGTCCCTAGGGGAGGTCCGAACAAGCCGGACCCGGGGACTCTGGTCGTTATCAGCAGACGGGACCTCGGCAACAAAACTTGAGCCAGGAGATATCCTCTCGGATCAATGCAGCCCATCCACCAAGATTTTGCCAATTCATGTCGAGTAGACAACGTAACACTGGTGGACCTTTGCATGCAACCCAGGACAGGAGGCGGAGCCCCCCGATGATCAGAACAACCTTAGTGGGCAGCCTTTCCACAAGGAGGAGAGTCTTGGCATTGAGGCGATGAAGCTCCGAATTGTTGGTGTCCGCTTGACCCGTAGCCACTCGATGTGCTGCAAGGTGAGCGGCGGTTACTTTCCTCGATCGGCAGACGGTTAAGCGGGCCCAGACAGGACTCCCGAAGAAAAGCACGGAGGACGCAGGTGCCTCCGCCAGCATGACCTTACAATTGGTTTTCACAAGCGTCCCGGGAGCAACAGTGTTGCGAATAAGCCGAAGTGCTTTCGCAGACTTAGCGATCCTGGCGGTGACATCCAGCCCTAGGGGACCATCCGCTGCAACCTGGGGCCCCAAGATTTTGTGGACCAGGGAGACAGGAAACGCGTGAGGCCAGCGGCTGGATGAGACTTCGCTCAAGCAGTGTCCTGATAGATCCCGCATGGCTGCGCGCGACCCTTTGCCGTTGAGACAAAGGAGAGGAACTTAGTTTTGGCAGCGTGGATGCTGAAGCCCGCGCGAGCCGCAGAGACGCGCGCCGGATCTCCGAGGCTTCTCGCGGCGACGAGGGTATCGCAAGGATCGGCGACGGGGGCCATGACTGTGAGATCATCAACGCATGAAGGTCTGAGCAGCAACGATCCCAGTCGTGTAGCGTGGAAACGTGGGGAGTGGGGGCGTGATGCGCCTCTTGAAGAGATAACCCAACAGAGTGGACTGCCAATGTGATGTCCATGTGTACCCGACAGAAAACGGCGTTAAAGATGTTCGTGGCAGCCGCCGTGCTTGGTGGAGAGCCGAGCCTAGGGGCAACGAAGTCTGCTGCGTCCCGAACCCGTCAGAACGCGCCTCGCCGCGTTTCCTGGACGAGGAGCGCCAGTTCACCAGGGGGGGAAGCTGGGCCAACATTGGGCCCTGGGCAAGCTGAGCCTTAACCCCCTGCAGGAGGACAGGATGGATGTCCAGCCCATCGAGGGCGTCCCGCA